CTGAGCTAACATCTATTGCCAATCCTCCTCCTTTTTTTCCCCAAAGCCCCAGTAGATAGTTGTATGTCATAGTTGCACATCCTTCTAGTTGCTGTCAAAAGCACAATTTAAATCAGAAGATTTTGACACGTACTGTGTGTGCTTCTCCTACTCCATAGATACAGATATACAGATATATATTTAGTAGTTTGTATGTGAACTCTTTATTGAAGTATTATATATTACCTATATATTATAATTACATATTATAATTATACTGACAGTGAATTTTCACAGGCTGAGTTCACCCATCTAACCTATACCCACATCAAGAAACAAAACATTACCAGCACCCTGGAAGTCCCCCTTGATGTTCCTTTCCAGGGACTACCTGCCCATCCCCTCAAGGGTAACCCCTATCCTGACTTCCAAAGGCATAGATTACTTTTCAGTTTTGCCTATTTTTGTTCTTTATATAAATGGAATCATGCAGTGTATATTCTTTTGATCTTACTTCTTTGACTCAGCCTTGTATTTGTGAGATTAATCCCTGTTAGTGCATATAGTTGTAGATCCATTTTTTCTCATTGCTATATTGTATTCCATCATGCAAATATGTCCTAACTCATCTGTTCTATTTTTTTTTTTTTCGTGAGGAGATCAACCCTGAGCTAACATCCGCCAATCCTCCTCTTTTTTGCTGAGGAAGACTGGCCCCGGGCTAACATCCGTGCCCATCTTCCTCCACTTTATATGGGACGCCGCCACAGCATGGCCTGACAAGTGGTGCGTTGGTGCGCGTCCAGGATCTGAACTGGTGAACCCCGGGCCGCCGCAGCGGAGCCGGCACGCTTAACCGCTTGCGCCACCGGGCTGGCCCCTCATCTGTTCTGTTTTTGATGGGCATTTGGGGAGTTTCCTTTTTGGGGCTATTAGTGCTGCTATGGACATTCTTCTACATGCCTGAATATACTGGTGCATTTCTGTTAGGTTTATACCTAAGAATGGAGTTGGTGGGTCAGAGGTGTACATTTTTTCGGTTTTAGCAGACACTACCGAACACTGTTTAAAAGCGGTTATACCGATTTATACTCCACCATCAGTATATGCGAGTGCCAGTTCCAGGTGCTGCTGGTCCGTGCTAACACTCGGTGTTGTCCGTTTTTCATTGTACCCATGCTGATGGATGCATAGTGGTGTCACAGAATGGTTGTAGTTTGCACTTCTCAGATGATGAATGAAGATGAGCATTTGGGTATCTTGTCTTTTCAAGTGTTTTATTATATTGAAAGCATATTTTCAGACTTCTGCTTTGAATTTTACAGAGAGAAAATGTCTCTTAACTCTTCTCTCTTGAATGTGTCTGGAGTTAACAAGAAAATTCAACAATATAGAAATGAAATAAGTAACAAAGAAGGAATGAGTAAGAGAAGATGGAAGCAGGGTGAATTCCTCATTTTTGTAGCTGGAGTCACAAAAAACCTTTAAATAATAGATAATAGAAATATCATTATGTGTAACTTTTAAGATAGACACATTTCAGACAGGGTCACATGGTAAAATTCAGATATATGATGTTTGTAAGAATAGGCAAGGTCTACCAGGTAATACAAAGGGAAAGACCGCAGTGCAAAACGGCATCATTTGAGCCTAACAAAAGGGCACTTTATCACGACAAAGAGTGCAGTTCATAATTAAAATCAAACATGACGTCACCGTTCATAAACAACGACAACAACTAAACTGTAGGAAATAGCAGGAGACAGAGCCGTACATACATTTGTCATAGGGAACTTGAACTCCTCCTCCTCGTTCTGCGAGAGCTCACATGGACAAAAATAACTGAGGACATTGCATATTTACATGACTTAATGAAAATTTGCTCTAACCAATACAAACCAGGAAAAAGATTGCCAACTCATGCAACAAGACTACTTTCCTTATTATGAGAACTTCTATTAAGAAAATTAGAAAAAGGTCACAACCTGACAGAAAAGTGAGCAAAGAATGTGAGCACAATTTATAGAAAAAAAGAGTTTCAAATGGCATCTAAACGTATGAAGGTATGCCCAGTGTCATCTGAAATACAGTAAATGCAAATGGTAAAAGAGTGGAATGAGTATATTTATGTATATGGATACATAGTTACATGGTTTTCAAGCTGCGTATTTTATGGCATGTGAATTATACCTCAGAGTTCTTAAACATCGAGATGTGCTTTTCACCTATCAGATGGGCAGAGATCAAAATGTGTGGTTGCACAGAACGTTGGCAAGGGTGGGAGGCGAGAGGTGCTTGTGTATGTTATTAGTGGAGAGGATGTTGCTGCAGTTTTGATGTAGTGTTACCCTTGGTTTAACACATGAATTTAATCTGAGTATTATTTAATCCTGAACATTTTTCTTCTCAACAGACACTTTGCAAAGAATAATCTAATTGAAAATGGTTTGGTTTTACCAAAGATTTTTTTTTTGTAAAGACTTAGGTAGGTCTTTCTTTATATGTGCTTTAAAATACTTTTCCAAAAGTCATGGTGGTCACGATAGCCTGCGTGCATATATTTAGGCAGTGATTTAGTCATCTACTGAGTGGATGATGTGGTAGGAATGCTTCAGCTTTGATTATGGATGAAAAATTCCAACAGTGAAGTCTGCAAAGTTAGCCAGGTTATAAACGGGTTACTAATTGTATTGAAAATTGTCAAGTATACATAACAATGCAGTCATAATAATGTCTGCCACTTTGATTTCTTCAATGAAGAATATTTATCGAGTACCGTCTGTGTGCAACACGGCACACTAGGTGCAGTGATGTGTTGTAGTAGTGTGTTAGCAAAGCGCCTTTTCCTTCACGAAGGACGAATTTGACCTTGGGTTGACGTGCTAGCTTCATTCTCTGTAAACTGGATAAAAGTGGAATGCCAGCTGTATAACCAGGCACCATCTGTAATGATAAAAATGACTCCTAATTGGTGAATTGCATCTGGATTAGGATGAACTATGTATAAACTATAAATGCCTTCTGAGAAGCCATAGCTTTGGCTTTCCCGAGTGCAGTGACTCTTATAACTGGGTGTGTCACTTGCAGACCCTTAGGATGTGCCTGTGGCGTTGTTGCAGGAGATGTTGCCTCTTGTGGGGTGTGGGCTTCTAAGCCAAGGTGGGCCCCACACATGCCCATTTGAATCTCGACCCCTCAAGAAGGCCAAAGACAGTAGCTCCTGGACAGCCGTGAGGATTGCTACAGAGACTGCATGAGGACCCCCCCCCCCCCCGCCAGCAGCTCTGCTTTCTGCTGAGTAGAAGGACGCCAGGTGTGGCCCACAGTAGTCTTGTTAGTCTGAATGTTTAACTGAGCCTAAGAAGACCACCTTGTGGGTGTTAACATTTTTTGAATTGAAATTGAAAAATAAACAGTAAGGAAAAAAAAATGCTCAGCCTCTGGGGAGGACAATTTGGCATTAAAAAAAAATCGTACATATAGATGACTCACAAATTTCCTTCTAGGGGTTTATTCTATTGGTATAGCCACGGATACGATAGGCAACTGGTATAAGGATAGTCATGGTAACAATGCTAGTAAAGCAGAAGATTAGAAAAACTGCATTTCTATTAATAGGAAAGTACTGGCATAAATTATAGGCTCTCCATACAGTGGAATACTGTACAATAGAATTGGAATTGTTAAAAAGAATGAAGTAGATTTATTTGTTCTGAATTTTCCCCAAGTAATATTGTTGAGTGAAGGAGGCAGTATTCTTTTATGTTTAAAAGAATAACAAAAACACGCTTACATATAATCAGAATCACAGAATAAGTTTAGATAGCAATTGGGTAAGAGTGGCTGCCTGTGGGATGAGGGGGGAGACTCCCTTTCTTTTTTCTCTCTGATGACATGTTAGGGAGCACTGTGTTCTGCCTCGCAGGTTACGAGTTATGAGTGCAGTTTTGGCCCCCTGTGTGCCCCCCCTGGCTCTGTTTACCTTCCTGTCTCTGTCTGCCTTGTCCCTCACGGTTCTAACCTGACTTGGTGTTTATCATTCTCACATCAACCTTTATACATTTGCAACATGGATAAGGAAATGAATAAATAGATTGTGGTGCAGCCATATCATACATGGAGTACCATCCAGCAGTGAAGATAAATGAGTTTCATTTGCATGCATCCACACGGCTGAATCGCAGAAGCCTGTGGTGGAGCAAGACTTACGCTTCTTACTTTTTGAATTTTATACTTGGTGCATATTCAAAACAAATGTGTCCTTTAGAATCTAGGGATTTAGATCATGTTTGATTTTGGTAAAATGTCAGTATGTTATATTTTTCTTTACTGATTTGTATTGCAAGTGTAGATTTACCAGGCTGCCATGGTTTTGAATATTATGAGATATGTACACAATGGATTAAAAACTTAGTGATGACTGACACTTTTTGAGGGGTGTGGGACAATACATTTTACCTCTATTTAATAGTTTGGCAGAAATTTTTTGATAATTTCTCATATCATGGACAAATCCTTCCTCTAGATTATTGCTGTTTACTAATTGCTGTTCTCTTTTATGGTTTACGTTGTAGATTGCCCTCTTAGACTCTCCCACAGCCTTAAGTATGGAGGAAAAACTTCAGCAGAATGAAGCAAGAGTAAGTGGTACTTTGACTTATTTTTTTTTAAATCGTAACTTTCACTGTTATTTTAAGTGCATGCTTTTTAATACTTGCTGTTTGAGATTCATTCCTTTCTTCATTATATTTAACACTCCTTCTGCCCCCACCACATGATTGTTTTTAAAGTAGCACAATAGTTAACTTCCTAAGTATCACAGTTCTCTGTGACTTAATAAATGGGATTTGTCTGGCAGGTGATGGTTGACTGCAACTGAAATCCCGTGCAGGCCACGCTGAGGAAGCAGTGAGGCCGCTCTGGCCTTCAGATTAGACCGGAGTCTTTGGTTGAGAGGCCATTTCAACATTTGTGAAACAGCGCGGACCCCATAGCTTAACCACAGCTAACCCGTGGCCGCTGCTGAGTTCTTTGTCATCCTTGGACATTGTTTCTGGTGGAGAATCTCTAAATACTTTATAGGCAGATGCTTGGTTTCTCCAAAGCAAGGTGGGATTTGAGGCAGGGGGAGAGTGGCTCTAGAGATGTTATGGGCTAAAGCCAGCGTTTGTCTGCTGATGCTTTTTGAAAACCACTTTCATGGCTGACCTGGTTCTATACTATTTTTGCTTAAAAAAATAACCTTCTGTGAAAAGAGAAATAGGCATTAAGGACATTACATTTTTAGAGGGGATTTTTTTCACTGTGCTGAATGGTTAGAACAGATAAAAAAACACAATTGGATTCTGTTGGGAAAGCTCTTTTAAAAATACACAATATTGAAGATATAAATTGGGTTGTAGTTAGGAACTTGTTGACACTTCCCTGGATAATTATGCTGATTAATTTGCTGATAATAGCATTAGTAAAACATTAGTACCTTAATCTCTATTTTTCTCATGAAATTTTGCATTTTAGTACTTCATATTCTAATTTTGTGTGCTTTGAAATGTCTGGATACAGTCTTAAATTGTTTCTTAATAGTGATTTTCAGGAATACCTAGCGAGTTAATAGAAACCAATAAACATTTTAATTTGAATGCATTATGCATGCTGTGATTGCCTATCTTGTTCATAACATTTTCTAAATTTTCATCTAGTGTTTTGCTGACCTTTTTATATTGTTTGTCACCTGCTTGGCTATACATCTTATCACCTGATCACATTGTTAGAATTGTTATCACATGTTTGCGTTTTTTCTTAATTTTATAAATGAAGATTCTTTGCTTTAAATTTAATAGTAAAATAAACCCAAGGCATACTTACAAGTTGCTTAAAGCTAGAATTATTTGATTGAATTGGAAAAGGATGGATTGGCTTACGTTTCTTCAGGGGGAACATATCTGTTGGTGAAATGCAGAAGCATTTATTGTTGAATGCTTTGTGTTTCTCGGATAAATTGCCAATGAGAATCTGTTAACTAATTATTATAAATTAGTAAATTCATTACGCCAATCTCTTCCGCTTCTGTAGGGGGAGAAGGCATAAGAATATTCCCTCTCTGAAAGGTTTTCCACAACAAGAAGCCCTGATAGCCATTTGATTTTTATTGCCATCATTAGAGTTTGTGGGGTTGGCATCACTCAGGTGATGAAATGAAGCGCTGGACTGTATGATGGGTTCCAGATCCATCAGGACAGTCTTATCAAACCATTGAAAACAGGCGAAAAACACAGTGAGAGAGGCTCAGTCCTGTTTCTTAGGTTTTTTACCAAGAAGATGATAGATTTTGATATTATTACCTAATAAAAGATCCATTATTAAAAACACGTTCACTTAGAACTCCTGCAGTTCTGTTTGAGGGAAATCGAGGAGTAAAACGAATGACCACTGAATAATTGAATATAGGTGGGTGAGAGATGTTTTGGTTTTCCTCTTGGATAAACCATCACTCCAGGTCCTCCATTTCTTGTCAGTAACAAACTCTTTCTGTCATGAAGGTTGCTGACATGAATGCCCTTTCCAGTTACAGTACCTAACAGTTTGTGGAAAAGTGTCTTCCTCTTAGCAATGAGAGTTTAAGCAAAGGTGTTCTGTGCATTCATTGGGGCCTGGTAGAACAGGGTAACTCATCAGTGGGAAGACCAGTAGGTTTAAATGGGATGGCGTCTGCTGTTGGCAGTGGGGAGGTGGCGGGAGTGGCAAAGTGCAGAAGGGAAGGGCTTTGAAAGGGGGCATTCTCTGCCTCTCGGGAGTCACTCTCTTAGCCCGGGTATACTCCTTTTTACACAACACATTTTTCTGTCCTTTTCTTTTTCTACCTCTCGATGAGTTTTACTTTTTGCTTCTTAATGAATTACTAAGATCATTTAAAAAGTTTTATGAAACTAGCAGAATATTTTCATTAACTTCGAGAAGCAATTTCCAACTGTGCTGTGTTTGATGGTTGGGGATATTTTCTCCCCTAAGTTACAGCAGACTGGAAAGAAGCTTATTTTTATCAAAAGAATTTTGCTTTTACTAAAAGAGTCAATTAAAGAGCCACCTTTTTTTCCTTTTAAGACAGAATGAGATTTATAAACCCTATTAATTAGTTACAAAACCAGATTATCTCCTAAGAAACTGCAGCATTCAAGGTGATTTAATCACCCCATCTAATTAGAAAGAAAAATAAATCACTATTTCTTAGGACCTAAAGTATAATCAGGGAAAATTAACCCATTTAATAGGACATTGTCATCCTTGAACTTGTAATTTTGGTTAATATCCAAGGAAGCAGCTTTTATTTAAATACACATGAAAAAGACTGTTGTAAAATTCTAGGCAACTTGACAAACTTTTTTCTGTTCTTTCCTTTGCCATAATGTAGGTTGTAGGATGAGATCAGCTTATTTGATTTATATTTGGTGATGGTTCTTTCAGGGATAGAAATTGCTATCTAATTAAAAAAAATTATAGTCCATCCTTCCATAAGCTATAAGAGTTTGGAAACTTTCTAGAAGAAAATCACAATAATTTTTTATGGAGCAATCAGATATGTATATTTTTCCTTTTAGGTTCAAGAATTGACCAAGGAATGGACAAATAAGTGGAATGAAACCCAAAACATTTTGAAAGTAAGGACTATAAAAAGGTGTCTTAATCTTTTTATGCTGACTTAAATAGGTAAAACTTTTTTTTTCTGCCTCAAATATGGCTGTTGTGTGCTTTGCTTAAGGTAAGATCATTTGGAACCAATTAGTGACTTGTTGGGTCGGGGTCCTGGTTTGATTTTGAAGAAATGGAAAAGGGAGCTATTGGACATTAAAGCTTTGTGTGTTTTAATAGGTAGAGGTGATGCTGATACTTAAGGTGTTTGCTTTCATTTCTTGGAGTTTTTCCATTTTTGACTCAGCACATATTAGACTCCATTTAATATTCAAGGGCATCGACTTGACCTTTCTGCTTTTATTAAACCCAATATAAAAGTGATACGTTAAATGAAAAAAATACTTCCCATGGCAATATTGTAGAATATGTGTACATAGCATGGCTAGATTTCAGAAATTTCTAAACTAGTAATTCCTGTTGGAACTTTTTTCTGTATGTCTCGAGGGCTAGACAGACAGCATTTTTGGCAAGATTGATTGTGAAAGGATATCGGTAATGGCCTACATTTTTCATACTCTATGCTTCAAAATACACGTTTCTTTATGTTCCCATTTTTTGCTGAGTTGGTAGGTAACCTGTGTCGTCTGTTGAGGGTCAGTCACATCGGGTTTGAGGTTCAGACTCGAATTTTATGCTTGATAGCATCTATCTGACTTTACGCATGAGAGAAGGCGATTCAGAGGCTATTAAATCCTAGGTTTGTGTTTGAGGTCTGTTGAGGTAAAACTTTCCCAAGGGAGTAAATCTCCCTTTAATATTGGCGAGGCTGGCTAGATGAGGTTTGGCTGCATGTCTTGGATGCACCCTAACTTGGATCCCCTTCACATGAAAATGGGGCACCCATTTCCCGTTTCGTGGGGGTAAACTTTTGAAGGCCTGGGTTAACACTGAGTTCTGTGTCTAATAGCTTTCTCTGAGAGTGGGGTCAGCATCATGCTATGTAAAGTTCCCCCTGTACCATTTAGGCAACTTGGCCTGCTCTGGGGGTTAAAAAGACTGTTTCTCAGGAGGTCAGAGGTTGTGCTGCAGTTCTCAAGGCTGGTGAGTTGTGGTGGTCCTAGAGACGTTCTTTCCAGTTGCAGAAAGCACTGCAAAAAGTGGGGGCTTCAGCATGAAGACTTTCTTTTGTCTGCTCCTGATGATGATAATGTTGGGTTATTCTGAGGTACTTCCTCAGCATATCCTTTGTGGAGAGATTTTTGCAGGAAACTGAGCAAAGACCTCACTGGCATTTCAGAATAGTCAGATGTGGAATAAGCACCACAAAGAGGTGAATATTTTTCATTAAGTTGCATCAACTCTAAGAAGTAGTGCTGCAGCCGCTGACTTATGAAGCCCAAGTCATTTGACCTTTCATGGCATGATGTACGCTTCCCTCAGCAAATCTGTCAAGCAGAGAGGACTAAAATCTGCTTCATTTAAGGAAAAGAGAAATCAAGTACTTATCTATTTGAGAAGTCCTTGGGATACGTAGTGCCTGTTAGCACAGGAGGTAATGCACAGTGAATTGAAAGATTTCAGCCTCATCTCTTCTGCCGCTGTGTCTCTCCGTGTCACTGTGGTGGGGGTTTCCTTACATCTTGGCAGAGATAGCCCCCCTGAGCGTCGCCATCGTGAGCCCCTGAGCTTTTCCTTATGCTTTTTCTCATAAGGTGATTCTGGGCCCTGAAGCTGAATCCTCCTCCAATTCCAATTCTATTTTTCATAAATCTTATTTTTATTTTTTGTAACTTTTCAGAGAAGAATAAAAATGTGATATGTGCTAGGTGTCAGAGGTTATAAGAAAGGCTAATGATATATAAAATTTTTTCCTTTTCTTGACCTTGCAGATCCGTTTTAGGTTTCTCTGCTGCTATTTGTGCTTTAAATCTGTAGTCATTTGCTGCTCACATTTGATATTTTAAGGACTGCCTTCCTCCCTTATTGGAAGACGGTGCCTGAGGGTGGAGGTGAAGAAGAGGGTTACTCAAATGCTTTTGTTGAAAACTTTCTTTGGAAATTAATGGGGAAAGGAGTTGTTATTCGATGAGTTTGTATCTGGGTGGTGGTAATCCTTTCCCAAATTTCTGTTGTCTGACTGTTGCATCAGTCAGCTGTTGTTCCCATAATGCTGCGTAGAACCCACTCCAACCCAGTGGCTTAAAACAATAATTATTTTCCCTCTTGCCTGTGCTGGTTTGCTGCTGGTTGGCTAGTCTAGTCTGGTTTGGTTGGGCTTGGATCCAGGCTGTGGGTGGGTTCCAGGTCTGCTCCACGTGTCTCTCATCCTCTTGGACCAGCTGATTGTCTGGGGCATGTTCTTCTCATGGTCTTGGCTAAGGTACAAGCAGGCAGGCCTCATGCAAACACTTTTCAAGCTTCTGCTTGTATCATGTCTGCTAGCATCCCATTGACTAAAGCAAGTAACTTGGCTGAACTGCAAGTCAAGGGGGAAGAAGTATATTTCACCCATAATAAGGCCATGGCAAAGCTATAAGTGTATAATCCTACTTTGAGATCAGTGGTTTAATCTACACATGCCCGTGTTAAAATATGAATCTTTAAATTCTGGGCACTTGCTCTTCTACTGAATTTGCACATTTTGTAGAGACAGGCCCAACGAAGCAGTAAATTCCCAGGATTATCTTCATCATCAGGACCTGTTTGTTTACGCTGCCAGGTTGTCAATTATCATTCCTTCCAAGCTGCAAATTCTGAACATCCAGGGAGACACTTTTGGAGAGTTAAAATGTCCAGGGGATTGAAGGGAGATACAAGGACCAATTTGGTGTTTATTGGCACCGTGAGAGCCTGTCTTGTTGCTTTTTCTTGCCCAACTTTATTGACAGGTCATTTCAGAGGAAACTCATGGATGTTGTTTGAAGAGAGTGTCACTGATTAATTGCCCCAAGGAACTCAAAGGTGGGTTTGGAAGCATTTAACTGTTGAAGAGATGCAATTACCAGCCACCCTGAACCAGACCAAGCCCCACCACAAGAGGGAGGCCTATGACCTTTGCCTCATTTTCAATGCTAAGATCTCCTCTCTGGGAGGATTTTAGGCCCTATAACCAGAACCTGCAGTGTATGTGGGAGCATGTTTTCCAACTGAGCCTGCGCAAGCGAATGCCCACCTCTCCCTTTTGAATATTCATACTCCATCTGAAATAAAAGGCCCCTGATTTCCTTTGTTTGGGACAGCCACGACTTTGGAAATGATTCTGCGTGGCCTCCTATTTGCTGCAAATATACCCTACTTTGTGTGACAACTGTTTCTGATGGAGAGTCTGATTTTAACTCGCCAGGAGGTGAACCCACTTTGGTTCAGTAACAAGAGGACTAAGGAAAGGAGTATAACCCATCTTCTCAGTCATCACAATGATCCTCTTCGTCATTGTTAAGCTACCTGTGCTGTGTGCTCGTATTTCCTATTCCAGGTATGACATAGACTTGCGACTCGTTTATCAGCGTGCTTCATGACGAATTGCTTCAGGAGTAGATGGGAGCCGCCTCCCATGCAGGGGGAGGAGTCTTAAGTCAGTGTGTAAGGCAAAGGTCCCTTGAAGTCAGAATTACTCTTGAAAATCCCTTAATTTCCGTGGAAATCACCAGATCCTGAGCTTTTGGATGCTTACAAGCCAAGGAGTAACTTTGTTCCTTTCTTTTTCATCTAGTCTGTGGCTTCCCTTGCACTGGAGAGTGAAATCGAGGGCTCTGTTGAGTGGGGGTGGAGTGAGGGTAGGAGCCTGCTGTGTAGACACAGGCTCTCACAAAAGACCTGGCTGTTTTCAGCAAAGCCGCTGGCACCATGGTGATAATGATGAAGCTTTGATCTGCAGACCTTGGATCTTAGGCTTCAGTTCCCTTTCTGACTCACTGGCTCCTGATACTTAACCACAGCTGTCACTTACCCTAATTCCCAGGTAGGGAATCACAGTGGATGGTAATGTCTTCCTTATATCCAACTTAACAGGGTGTTAAAAAACAAAATTCAGCTGAGTAAATTTGGGGATCTAATTGGCTTTACTAAACGGGTCATGAGTATGGCAGCATCCCATCTAGTGAGTAGAGAGGAGCTCTGAGGGGCTGTACAAAATGGAAGGTTTTTATAGGTAGAAGCGGGGGCGGGACAAGGAAGTTAAAAAGAGAGAAAGGATTGTTTGAGGCCAGGTTACTGCCCCTTAGGGGAAGGCAGGGGGTCTTAGTATGCAGACACCTCACTAGTGCTGACCAGGAAATTCCAGACTGGTTGGTTTAAAATCCCACTCCTGGGAGAGGCTGAAACTGCACTTAGGTATTAAGTCTTGGTGGACTTAACGTTAAGTCACTCTGTTGGGGGCTTGTTTCTTTTTAACAGGGGAAAGAGATAATAAAGTGGTCGGGGGTATTTTGAAAGTAGCTAATGACCGAAGAAAGTGTGTTTATCTTAAAGAGACAGTTCTTAGACAGTTAGGTAACGAGAGTTTTATCGTCCTCTAGTGTACTCGGTGTATCCACACTCTTGACCCTTAATGTGCCTTCCTCATTTTCATTAATCTTCATTTTCGAGAAATTGGAGTCCAGACTCCCTTGCTTGGCCTGCAAAGGCACTGATCTCATTTCTCTGTGTCCTATCACAGTTCTGTAGGGGCACCCCGGCACCCATACCCACCCCCTGCCAGATGTCTGGCTGATGTCTGGGCTCACCTGGGCATTGGGTATCTTGGTGTCACGGCCTTTGCCTGTGTTGCTCCATCATTCGAGATGATTCCCTTTTCTATGCCTGTTAGAATCCACCTTGAAGCTCTCTCTGATCATTGTCTCTCCCACTTCCCAGGTAGAATGATTTTGTTTTTGTCTGTGCTTTTATAGCTTTTGGTTTTACTTCTGTCACAGTGTTTGCCTTAATCTGAGTTTGCTGGTCTTGGTTTCTCCCTCTAAACAGGAGCAGCATCTGGACAAAGACTCTCTTTATCGTTCTGTGAACCAGCTCCTAGAATTCTGCTTCT